AATTTCCTAGATTCTGGATTCCACAAGCAAAATTTTCCCGTATCCCGGAATCCCTTACATGGGGCGATATTTACGTGTGTAGTATTCCCACAGTATGATCATTCTTCCTCTCTTTTTATGCCGATGTCTCGACAGTTCTTACCTACATTTATCCCACTTTTGTTGGGTGGATTATGGTGCTCCACAGCATGGAAACTTCTGAAACTTTCTGTATTTGGTGTTCCATGAGGGGAAACCAGTGCAGTTTCTGGTAAGGAGAAAGTAAAATCAGATTCCGAATAGCTCTGAATTCCACCTAGCTGTTCCCCGGCTAGATCCACGGAATGCCTGTGAAACGGCGAGTCAGCTGTCTGATAACCCAAATTGTCAAACTCGTAAAATGGATTCGCGTTTGAAGTTGAACCATTGGCAAATGACCGAGAACGCAACTTTGTGCGTGAAAACGAGGTAGCAAAAGGTCTTTCTATAAAGGAACGACTCCTTGAAAATGGAAGGGGAGATCTCGATGTGAAGCGATCGGGCAAAACAGTTGTCTTTATACCAGAGTTTGTATTAACTGGAAAATGTGTGACTTGAAGAGTCTGAGGCCCTGTCTCCTCAAGGGGGCCTGGTGACGAGAAACAATCGGCTCTTTTTTCCGTAGACTTTGCTTCTGGACTTAATTCCAATGCATTTTCCCCTTCAAAGTCTTTAGATAATGGCTCTGATGTTACATCTATAGCGCTAAGGGACAACTGGTTGCAGTCCGTCAGAACATCTGCTTTAGATGGCTTTACATCCTGTTTAGCTTTCTCTGTCACTGCAAAATTTTGTTTTACGTTTTCACCATTGTCACCTTGTGAATCGCGAGATAACTGACTGTTCTCTAAAGAGTTATCGTTAAACAATTCTGGTGTCTTGCACATGAACGGATAAACTAGAGAAAAGACCAAGAAAGAAAAATAAGTGAACAAAGACGTTTAAGTATAGTTACAGCCTAGTAAATATACAGACAGAGCCCATTAATACGGACAGTGAGGTGGCCATAGAAAGTGTCCGTATTAACAGGGTGTCCCTATAAAAGGGGTTTGAATTTAGAGAAACTGGAAGGGCTTTCTTTCCTCAGGCACGAAGCAAACTGTTCGTAATAATAAGGTGTCCACAAAGCGAGGTTTAACTGTACTACCACGTAAGAAAGCTAAATAGACTTGTCTAATGTTTTTAGCCCTTTTCACCTGTAGGTTTTTGAAAGGAAGAAACTTGCGTACGCTTGACAAATACATGGACATTCTGGGTTGACGATAACATCTTTCGGACCCAGTCTACCGGCTTTTATTTCCCTCTAGCATCACACTACGTCCATTCCCAAATAAGGCGTTGAACGGGCTATTATGTCAGAGTATCATACCTGAGACAGCGATTTTTCTCTTTCGTTTGCTTGAACTGGATCGTGTGTCGCCGCAAGAAGATTCATCTTCAAAAGCTGCGTCCATCTCTGGCGAGACTATGATTTTGTTTTCATAACCATTTTCTTGCGTGTAACAGCCATATTTGTCACTGGAAGGTAAATCAGAGGTTTCCTGTTTTGGAGTTGTTTTACCAGCGGACAGACGCACGTTGGATCCAGCATCCTCCTTCTCGACCTCGTCTTTGAAAGAAATGCGCTTCTTATGTAGACGTGGCCTTTCCTGGACTCCGTCAACAGTGGTGCGATAAAAGCTTTCGGTTTCGCATGGTTCCTTTTCATAAGCGGAGTAAATAAGGCCACCCTGATGGTATCCAATGCTGCCTCCATCAGGACCAATGCCAGAATCATGATAACTGAATGAAGGATTGCTCGTGACTTTAACCACCGTTTGATCTGTGGTCGGTGTGGTTGGTTCTACATCAAAACTGCGTCGTGAACCTAGCGAAAGCCGCCGTGTCCATGGATCTGGAAGTCGAAAAAACAAGGTAGCGGACCTCATAAGATATGCGTTGCAAACAAAGAACATGTTTTCAAGAATCAGAGAGGCAACGTAAGTACAACTAAAAGGAACCATACTTTCTAATGAAAAGAAACTTGTCTCTCTTCGATTCGTGATCATTTTTAAAAAGTTAAAGTTTAAAGCGCCCTTCAAAGACCCGTTGCCTTGACAACAACAGTCGATCCTCTACTAACGGCCACCTCTCTACAATGGCCATTTTTTATTGTCCCGGCGGAAAGTCCATACATCGACTCTTTTTTAAACCTCTCTACAAAGGCCACATCTCTACCACGGCAACGGCCACTAAAGCGTGTCCCCAACTGAATGTTGCAGGATAAGTTTTGAGATCAGAGTCAATAGTTTGGCAGCGATTTTCTTAGAAGGCTTAAAGGTATAGGTACCATTACCTCTCAGATGAGAAAAATGTAAAAATGCCTGGTAGGAAAAGGAGCTTAGACGTCAATTTTTTTTGTACCCCGGCCGTCTACCTTATACCCTGGGTGCCAGAGACTTTTCATGCGCGGTTTCCGGTTTCGGTCAAGTCTCCTCGCGGCTTCGCCGCTCGTGTATTCGGCCTTCGGCCGAAGACGTGTTGGCCTGCGGCCGACATCCGGCAAAGCTCCTCCTCGCACGCGAGAAAAACCTCTGGTACCCAGGGTATCTACCTTAAGGTTATATTCACAATATTCCGGAAAGCTTTTGCGCCGCCATGAAAACCATACCGGATAGGGCTTCTGTTCACACACAAAAACTGTGTTTTAGGCGCGGTTTCTGTGACGGCGCAAAGCTGCGCCGCGACGATCTCGAAAGTGTTGTGTCACAGTACACTGTTGGAGAGATTTTGTTCCATACTTTGCTGCAGCGTGAACATCTATTACTACAGTCGCGGAAGTAGATAAACAGAAACGAGAACTGGAATTTAGTGCACCAAACGTTAACCTTCTCGGCCAAACTCGACGGCACAATGTTGGGTGTAAAGGACTTGCGCCGTTTCGGGTGGCATTCCACGTCGGCACGAAAATCTATCCGTGAAAAAAATCTATCAGTGCGAACATAACCTAAGTTTGAGGGTAATTATCAGGTTAAAGATTTATGAACATACTGTCGGCTTTATAGGATGAACATAAACCACAGCAGTGAAAAATCTTGCAAAGGATGAATATATATCCTTTTCTATATGGCTTGCACATGGCGGCGCCGATTAATGGATTGAGAACTGAGTTAATAACAGCCAACCGCATTGACCAGAAATGAGCTTGTGGTGGGATTTGGAACCAACCACTCACATGCTGAAGAATAACAATCTGAAAAGACAAAGGCAAGAATCAACTCAACTCAGCCAAAAAGATGTAAGATGTTGTTACACATCAGAAGTCACCATCTATCATTAGAGACCTTTAGACCTGTTGTTAATCCTCTAACAAGTTCTCTCCACTAATAATAGCATACGAAAAGGATAAAGGGTTAAAAAAACAAAGCAAAGCAAAAACTACAATAAACGTCACAGCGCTCTTTGTACTTAAAAAACTACGCTTTGAACCGGACCTATCATAATTTTTTGGGGATTTCGATCCCTCTAACCGCCGAGGGTCCCGTTGGGATAGTAAGCGCGCGGGAGCTTTTCCCCTACTGACCGTCCCTCGCAGGCTTTCCCAATACCCAGTTCCCGGGGGGGGGGGGTACTCCCTTATATAAGCTGTATAGGTATGTGCCGCCCCATTGGGTAGGGTTTTTGCGCCGTTTTGGTCTGAAAACCGGTATACCCTTTGCCCATTTTGGTCTGGAATCAGGTATGGTTTTGGAGGGAACTAAGGGAGTATATGAACGTATTTTTCGTTTCAATTCCAACTGAGTAAGAAAGAAAGAGAAATATGCGCATTCGAAATGAATTTAAAGAATTTTCTTTGTTTGCACTCTAATCTAAGTAATAAAGGCCATGTCTGAAAACGGGTATGGATTTTAGAGCTCTGGTCTGAAAATGACGTTTTTGGTCTGAAATAGGGTCAGGATTTGGAGAGCCGGGCGGCAAACCCTTACCAAGAATTCCCAGGAGTGACTCCCCCCCTCCCCCTGGGGCTGTAGCGCAGACTTTGTCCAACCCTTCCTGAACCTGGCCGTTTGGAGAAGGGAGACATATGACAAACCAGTACCCCTTCCTTTACTCCCGTAACGTAGGCTCAGTACCCTGAACGCTAAATTTGCCCTTAGCTTGTTTCTTTTCCCATCCTTTTTACGGCGATAAGATCACCCTACGTGCAAGTTCTAATGATTGTTTCCTCAAATAAACTGTATAAAACCAAGCCAGTATGATGGTTAAAGAAATAGAGATTACTTCATGGTTGGTGAGTGCGTACGATTTTTATTCACGAGTTGTGAAGAATCGAAAACGAACGAGTGAGCGCAGCGAACGAGTGAGTTTGCGATTCTTCACAACGAGTGAATAAAAATCGTACAAGCGAACCAACCATGAGGTAATTTGTTTATTATATATGTACTGAGATATTACAAAATAATGTTAACAACTATCAATTGCGCGGTGAAATCAACACAAAGACCACAACGAGTTGCGAATGATTTTATTCGAGCAAACTGAACGTACAAAACTTCCTACAACATTAAAGTTATTCAATGACTCTGAAGAAAGTGGAACAAAGTCTACTTTTAAACGATTCTTTAACTTTAAATAACAATGAAAATTTTCAGCTTTAAATATCGCCGTTCAAAACCGTAACTAAGATATAAAATTTGAAAAAGTTGACTGTTTTGTAAATCTAATTATAGTAATGCATGCATTCTAATCAGAGTCAGAGTCCAGTACTTTTAGCCTTTTGTACCTCTTTGGAGAAGACTTTACCTCAACTTCTTGGATTGCCAACTTCGGGGATTGATTGAGGCTGTTAATAGAAATGCTGAATTGACCTCCATGAATAACAGCGCCCGTGAAAAGCGACATCGCTTGTTGGTGATGATCTGCCGCCGAGCGACCCGCCGAGCTAGCTGAAGGATCAGTGGAGCATTCTCCAACTTGAGATGAATTAGTTTTACTGCTAGATAAAATGGCGCGTTGTTGTCGTTCATTTCCGACGGTCTTTTCTCCGCGTATAATTTGTAAACAGTGACGGGATCTCTTTCACTTCCCTGAACCGAAAACATTTTCGGTTTTATTTGCCTGACATCTCTGAGATTTTCTCCGGTTCGAGTCTTAGTTTGTCTCTCAGTATACTCTAAAAATTCCTCGCCATTTGTAGTTTGGCGTAGTTGCACATCGCCCCAACACATGTCTCTGTGTTCCTTACAACCACGGAGACCGAAATAGACTGTGTTGTTGAACCAAACTGTATTCAGTAGAGCCTCAGGAGTTGACTTTCCTAACAATCCTTTGTCATACAGCAGTTTTATGTCGTCTTCTGTGAGGGGAACTGAAGCGTTTGGTTTATCGCCTTTGCCTTTCTTCTTGAGATCTCTTTGTTTTGATTTTAATGCCGTTCGTGCTTTTTCAAACTCGACGTCTCTCATAATGCTGTAGCCGTAATTCTTCTTCTTTAAATACCGTTCAAAACTGGCCATCATAGCACGCAAGGAAGTGGGTTCGTAATCTTCGTTGTTTTCTTTCTTTCTTACTGTTATGATAAATTCGCTGATGAATGAACTCAGTTCGTGTGGGGGAATTTCTTCTACAGGCCTTGACTCATCTTTTAGCCTCAAAAACTCCTTAAGCAAAGCAACATTCTGTTCAGTTTTCTTCCTGGTGTTTTCGTTTTCTTGTCCTTCAATAAATTCCTCTACTGAAGTTATATCTGCAAACCTTAAATTGCTCGAAGAAGACGCCATGGTTTTCCTTTTGCCTAGTGACGCCGTCAGTGAAAGGCGGGAAAATCGACACGATTTTTGTCACTAGTGAAAACTTTCGTCTGCGGGTTGTGATTGGTCATACGGTATTTTTCACTAGTGAGAAAAATCGTACAACCAATCAGATTGCGTGTACTCTGCAACGCATCATTTTTATTTGACATATTCATTTTGCAGTAAATCTCTGTACATATATAATAAATATATTTATGTATCATAACATCTACATGGCTTATCAGATCGGCTCTTAAGTCCCCTGAGAACTTCTGTGCGGTCTCAATCAACAACAGTGCTTGTAGACGAAGAATAGATCCTCGACTTGATTCGAACTCGGACAACTCGAATTCGCCGCTAACTCGCTGAAAATTTCTGGCTTTCCCTTCATCAAAATTTCACTAAAATTTACCCCGATAACTCGAAATCCCCGCTATCTGGAATTGTTTTTCATTTCCTCTCAGAGTTCGAGTAACCGGGGTTCTACTGTAATAATGATAAAAAAAAATTATTACTTCAATTACACCGATGTAGACAGTATTGTCTTCAATAGTCTGGCACAGGATAGATAAAAAGCGCCTAGGACTTTTCATGCTGTGGACAAGAGAAGGTATGCTCTGTAACCGTCAATTGACATAGTTCATGGAAGAATGTCTAATTTTATCTGCTTTAGTAAATGAAACAAACAAACAAACAACAACATCATTGTGTAATCATATAATTACATTTTAAATACATTTCGAGACTTGATTCTGGAGCCTTAGGTAAGAAACCTTTGTACCCTAATAGGACAATTGACATTAACCTCGGATAATATATATTCTAAGATAAGTATTTAGTAAAATCCAACTAGTGGTCTACTATCAATGCTGCGTTCTGATTGGTTGAGCTACTACTAGGCTATATGTTATAGCCTACTAAGAGCGAAAAGCGCCGGCTTTGAAAACAAAACGATGGCGGCTGAACCGCGTTTTGCTAGCTAAGGTTGTTTTGTCTTGATATTTTAACCAACTAGTTGGATTTTACTATACTAAAACAATTATTCCTCTCGCCCTCATGGCCTCTGAGTCAATAGCCCATTCGGCCTTCGGCCTGATGAGCTATTGACTCAGAGCCCATAGGGGCTCGAGGAATAATTGTTAATTAGTCTATTATAGTTCTATTACAGTGTCACATCATTATTCGTTTTTTTCAGTGTGAGTCTAAAGTACATAGAATATTCATAGCTATCACCTTGTATTAAACTTGCATATTCACTATTCCTAACTTGCGGTTGACAGATCAATAAAATGTTTGATATAATTAGGTGCACTTAAAGTTGATATTACATGCAGTGCTGACATATATCGCGGTTTGAAGCGTATTATACAGTCTTACATTGGTATAATTATACGACAACACATTTCTAAAAATAACAGACGAACTTATTTGTTATGAGCGATCGGTGTGAGTATCCCAAAACCGTCACAGCCACTGACTCATTCTTTTTCTGTTGCTTGTTTGCTCACTCTTAATTTTAAAAAGAATTCATCATGCATTTTTGTTTCGGATGAAACATTTGTAACCGCATTGCTCAATACACCTTATCTGGTAACCATTCACAGAGTGAAAAAATCCATTCCGCTGTTAACATCTGCAGAGGAAATTCAACCCCACATACCTGTTATATTTTTTCTAACGGTGATTTTACTTTGAGTAATAATTTTATTGGTGTGCTACTTCTTGCCAAAATCAACTTGCATCGTTTGCGTTGCTTATTTATTGTTCATTATTTTTACTCTTTACAGAGACATTTTCAAATGGCAGCTTTCAAGAATTTGTGATTTCTTCTCTTCATGTGTTGTGTGGTATGTCGAAGCCTGACAAAGCCTTTAAAAGTGGAAGAGGGGGCAGGCAACAAATGTCTCTCAAAAGGACGTTTCTGGAAAGCGTTGCCGGCAGGTTGGTACTCAACTGATCACTCATTCAAATACTAACCGTATAATCAGTTAAAACTAACCAAGCAATCATATAATCGCTTTGCAAAAACAACTGCTATGGACAAGTCCATCATCAGGAGGACTAATTCTGTTTTTCATTTTTACTACAGATGTTGTTTGCCTTTAGCAAGACGTTTTCACTTCTTCGTAAATTAAGAAAAAAATATAGTTTAGATTCCTTTAACGCTCTTTACGATCTCTAAGTGACTTTCGTGAGTAATCTTCTGTTGAGTTAATTGTTTTGTTCTGTTAGTTCCTTGCACTTTAAAAATTAATCACTCTAAGGCGACAAAGACACTCTTTTAAAGTGAGTCGAGTCCATTTTCATTTATCCTTTAGCAAAAACGCGACGAGAGCCGTGCGAGGACAAAAAGAATGCCTATTATTGTTTCTTTATCGCTGTAGTGGAGGATAACTGTGCCTCTGCAGGAGATATATGCAGCTGGACTTGCGCACTGTGCAGTTAAACGTAATCTTGTTATGTAAAAAACTAAGATTGCTTTGGAGAGTCATTAGCAAATAAAAATCACTCCAGCCTTTAAGTCTGGTGTAAGAAACTAAGATACGCTTTCTTTTTTATTTACGGTCAGTCCATTAAGAGGCTAGCTCAGTTAAGGTTGACATTTTCCTCGCTATATCTTCTTATTGGATAAACCCGCTTCGAGTCACAAAGGAAACGCTACCTGCCACCGACCCAATACCCAATAATCATGTTCTAAGAATAAGCCATCATTACGTGAATTTGTTGTATTAACAGTTAGTCGTCAACCTTGAACTAGAGCTTCCCGTCACTGTACCGAAGTGACTGGAGTGATGTTGGTACGTTTGCACAACTTTGCCGCCACGACACTGCACAGGAACTCGATAAACTCACAGAGTGTCAGAACGCTGCAGCCAAGGAGCAAACCCATGTTACCTCCAATCTCACCTGGTATTCAACAGAGAAAAAAAGAGGAACGAAAAAAACAAAAACAAAGACAAATTAGTTGGCTCGAAAATGACAAACTATAACTGTAATCACTTATTTCGGCCTTATATTATCTTTCAAAAGGAACATACCAGAATCGCATGTGTACGATATTTAATTTACTCTACCTTTACCACGAAACCAACTAATTTTTTTGTCAACGTTGCTGTTTATTTTTATCCTTGGTTTAAATGTTATTTTCCTTTGTTTTGGGGTATGTTATTGTATGACCATAATGAGTTTGAAACAAAGGAAAATAAAATTTAAACGAAGGATAAAATTTAACCACAACATATCCACGGATAGACATTAATAAAGCATTGAATCTGACAGGTAACCTTGTTAAGTTCCTTTTACAGCGTACCTCACCCCACGGCCCCTGGTCGCTTATACACAGGAGTTTCCCCCGCCTCCCCTCCCTGGCTGAATTCCGACAGGTTACTTCATATTTCCATCTCAGTGTTGCAACTTACCAAACATAGCAAAAACGTCGTACACTAACTTCTCCTCCTGCAATTCATAACTTAATGACTTAAAGCCAACTGTTACGTAAACAAAATCCTGGCTAAGAAAACAAAATACACAGTCAGTATTACAGCAAGGAAATCTGAAGGACATGATTCACCTTTACCAATTTTTCTTTTTTTATAACGCCTGCAAAATTCAAATACAAAACCTCAAAGATGTAAAATTTCTTTTCCTTTTCTTTTTTTAAACGGCAGATACTACACGGACGCATTGTGCAGCTAAAATTTGTTTTACAAACATGGGAGCTTATTTGATAAGGGGGACTTAATCAATTAACCGAAATAGGGGACCATACTACTTTTTCAAACAAACAGAAGATGGTATCAATTCTCCATAAACAAAGACGAAATCAAGTGGAAATGCTCAGGGAGATGACGTTAGAGGTCTTGGAGCTAAAGATCCTAACTTCCAGATATGAATAACCCACACTGGATCAGTCCATTTTATATTAATTTGGTAGTGAGGAACAAGGAGGGAGAGGAGAAGGGGGCTTAATAACGTTCTTCCCCTGATCGAGAGGGGGGGGCGCTTTTTAAAAAAGGTGAGCTTATTTGGAAGGGGCCTTAATAGAGGAGGTATTACTCTACCTATCCTGGTTGACATCACTGAACCAATTACTGACTGGATCAGAGATTGTCTTGTCATGATCAAGGAGTTTGGAGAAAGATATTTCCGCCTTGTATTTTGTCTGATTACAAGAGACTGGACAGTCACATTTCACTGTGTCTACAGAATAATAAAAGAAAGCAGCAATGTTAGAAAAGTACAGTCTCTCACGAAGTTAAAACTTTTGAATGCCTTGGTGCACACACAACACATGGATGAAACTGATCACTCGTTAGTTTTAACCGAATGTAAGAGGCCGAGCGTCACACTGCGTTAATGGGTGGATCGACGTATCACTAAGTGATTGCTGTTTGGTTTATTAGTTAATCAGTTTACTAAACATTTTATTGAGGTGAAGCTTTTAATATACAGTGTACATGTGTCATAAATTAGTGAAAGTACATGTTGTGGATCAATTATGTTGGTTTAGTTAATCATTATGACCCTCAATTGTCATGCCAAAAAAGGAAAATAAATTTTAAACCAACAAATATAACTTTAAAGTTATTTCTCGTCATCAACCTTTAAGACCATGAAGACAATCTGCATGTTTCTGTTGGCAAACTTCAATGCTGGATCCTAAATTAAAAGAAAGGAACAAGTTGGTTAAGTCAGTTTAGTCCTAATTAGTTTTTGCTTAATTTAGTTAGTTTTTATTATTATTATTATCAGTTAAAAATGATGAAACATTTTGAAACACTGTTAACGTATAGAATTATTTAGAATTAAACAAGCCTAAAAGCGGAGCCCCTTATAAACTTTTCGGCAAACTGCTAATAAACTTTAAATCATTGCATTTCAGACATGAATTTTATTGATTTCCGATAGCGATTATCAGTGATTGCCAGCTCTTGAATAACAGCAATGACATCAAGTCTGTTGATTCTTCATCCCTTAAAAATACAGGTCTGTTGATTCTTTATCCCTTAAAAATACATTTGTGTCAATTTTTAGGTGCGAACTTACAGGTAATTCTGATGATTTTGATTGCCGTGAATTTTTGATTGGACATTCCGCCATTATTTCGATGGTCGATTGTTGCAATGAAAGTGAAAGAGACGTCATGTCTTCGAGAAATTGATTTTTAAAAAAAAAAAAAAAAACCAAACTTACTAACCACACAGAAATGCGATATAGAATCAGATGATTGAAATTAAAGCTGATTTTAATACTGTTTCCCGTTTTTCTGTAGCCATACACCTCAATTTTGATCTTGTCAGTTCGCGATTTTCCACCGGAACATAAAACAGTAATAGTGGATCCGGCAAGACCAACCAAAAAAGCAAAACCTGTCATTCAACGTATTTTCTTTGACGAACATACACTTATAATGTACCCTGGAGAAGAATTTATATTTTTATCAAAGTAAGAGGGATAGTTTTAAAAGACACAGGATCGGAACATTTACAACATAAAGTAAAACATTAAAAGAAATTGGGTGGGGACTGCTGATATATACCAGTGATACCCGCCGGACGACAGCCACAGTATTCCATATAACGTTTAGCGTAACACTCCTCCAGGCAACCGTCTGTAGTATATCGAGAAAAACTTTTCAATTTCATTGTCTTGCACTTCTTGCCATATCTATCAAGATGCTTGAACTTTGAATGAAAAAGAAAATCATGATATCATCAACATCATCATCATCACCGTCATCATCATTATCAGTAGCTGCGACATTTATTTCTCTTTACAAACAAAAACTTGAAAGGTCATCGTCATTATTCCTTTTTTTGCCGAAAGAGAACTTTAATACCATTTTCATAAACTTTAAGGAGTTGGTTAAAAATAGCTTAATAAAAGGAATGATATAAACTGAGGTGTAAGAAAGTAAAAATAGCTAGTACCAGTTACCAACGAATAATCAGAACTTCTAAACGTAGGCTCAACCTTTTCAAGCAATTCAAGTTAAGGAGGGACGGTCACTGCATCCTAACCTTTCTAAGTCAACCTTGTCAACATTTTCAAATAAACAGCATTTGGACATGTGAGAAACGAAATCTCCGAAACGAAAATTTGCCTCTAGCTTAAAGTGATACCACTTTTTCTTATTTTGTTAAATCTCCTGAAGGCAAAGAACATTAAATCAAGAAAGACATAAACCAAACCTACTCTTTGCTCTGAAAGCGAAATGGTAGCATATGTCCCTGGCATTACACTAAATGCCTCATCAAAGGCATTGAAGCTTTCTCCCTGGCCATGGATCGATATGGAGAACCCTTGTGCTATCTTGTTGCCAAGCGTGTAATCTGACTGACTCACATTCAGCATTATTGCCAGTCCCCTGCTCACTCCACCCCTATAGGAAACTTTGGATCGATTGTTTTTGCCAGAATTAAAAGTATGGCATATTCCATATTGTGTCACTTCGGTTTCAAAATCTGAGTGATTGCAGTTTTCACTCCATTGGAAGAAGCATCCAAAATAATGAGATAGCATTTCTGCTGAATCCGGGCTGAAGACTGTGAAGAACTGTTCCATGTTGAAAAGAACCCCAGATTCTTCAAGTGCTTTTTGCAATGCACTCCTTCTCTGTTTAGTGCAGTTGGGGTAATAAATTGGATTTGTTTTATAACCAAAAAAGGCACAGCAGCAGATCATTGCTAATCCACAAGACATGTTGTTCATCTCCCTCTGACGTAACTCCCTAGTAACCTCGCATGCGCTCATGTTTAGGCCTTGGGCTGCAAAAAAGGGATCGTCGTCCCGCATCATAATTTTTCTTCTGCTGAATAAATTCTCAGGACAAATACTCACTGCCGGAAACGACATACTCTGTTCGTAATTCTTGGTTATCGAGGTGACAGTATGATATTGAAGGTATTTGTTCACTGCCTTATAAAAGGTGTAAATAAAATATGCGCCAAAGGTCAGCATTACAACAGACCAAACCACTCGGGAGACCCTTGGTCTTTGCGATGGTAAAACATTCCTTATACCATGCAAAGTGGTATTTTCAATAAATGCTGTCCATTTTTGTGAAAGGCTGCGATGATGTTTCCTTTCTTCCTCTTCTTCTAATTTCTTATCATTCATCTTCGGATTTTTTACGCTCTGAGCTATCTCAGGAGGCAGTGCATTCTCTTGCCCAGTGCCCGAGTTTGTGACATTTAAAGCACCTCGCGCGGTCCACGTAAGCATCTCTACCGCCTGAAAACAGATGAAATAAAAGCAGAATTAAAAGCAGATAAAATGAAAAAGCACCCGTAGAAACCTGAGAAAAGGGAGGGTGGGTGGTGCCAGATCTTAAGCGTCCGAAGCAGAAAACAGCTCTAAAATTGCTAAGGTCGCAAGCGAGAGAGAGAGAACAAACTGAAAACAGCATCTTAAATAGGTAAAAAAAAAACCAATCGGAAGCTACGATAAACGCACTGGGACACCTAAAGGCGACAAACTGTAAGAAAGAATGTGAAGCTAAAATAACCTTGGAAAATATATTTACTTATGATGGCGGGCGCCGTCGTCTTGTAATTACCTTCACTGAACAGTAAACAAAGCTTTTAATAGAATTCTCTAGATCAGAAGGTGATCCAAGCTCTCTAAGTAATGAAAATAAATATCACTACCTCGGGATACAAAGCAAATACAGGAAAGGCAAAGTAGAATGCAGAGCATGACGAGACTCATACGACTTTGAAATTCACCACGGGAGGAAGTTTCAATTTCCGGTGTCCTTGTAAAAACCTACCGTATTTATTCGATTAACCGCCCTGGGCGCTTATTAAATTTTTGGACCTTGAGAGTGGGCGCTTATTCGAGGTGGGCGCTTATTCGAGGCTGGGCGCTTATTAAATTTTCACCATTTTCAGCAAGTGAAGTATGTTTATTTTGCAACAAAACAATAAATGCTAATAACAAAAAGCGAAGAAGTAACAAAGCAAGGCTTCTGTAAAATATTCTGAAGAAAACTCCGTCCTCGGGGAAGTCTCTCACTAAAATTTATTCACTCAAGTGGGTGGGGTGGGGGTGAGCGCTTATTTGAGTTTGATTGGGAGGTGGGGTGGGGTGGGCGCTTATTCGAGGCTGGGCGCTTATTAACTTTTTCTGCCTTTAGGATGGGCGCTTATTCGAGGTGGGCGCTAATTCGAGGTTGGGCGCTTATTCGAATAAATACGGTAATCTGTCATGACTTGTGTACTTTGCGTCACGTATAGAAGACGAGCTGAGACCAAACAACAGATGCTATTTGTATCACAATGCGGTCTCGCGCGAACTTTCAAAGCCGGCATGAAAGTGGCGCGTTCGCCGGGAAAAGCATCTTCAGTCTTTGGACCATCGCTTGCCAAACAAACACAATCTCGTACGCAGTATCAGTGACCAAATGGTTTTACCAACAGATATAATTCATGGCAAGTCAAAATTTTAAGCTTTTTGTGTAGAGATGAGGTTTGGAAGTAGCAGGGCCGATTATTTATGGCTATTTATGACTTGGTCGATAGTACAGATAGTACTGGCGCTCGAGTCAACCCATACAGGTTTGGTTTTTCAAAGAGGAAAGATCATGTTGTTGTCGTTTCAACCTTAGCCCGAGCCTTTAATACGCAGATGGAATGCAGGCGAACGCGGGTTTAAAGCGATCAAAGAAGGACTAAATTCCCTCCAACTACTAGAAATGATGATGATGATGATGATAAACTTTATTTCAGTGTCAGGTCTTCTAGCTGGCCATGTAAGGCCTACTAATAGGTAACCTGGGTGCCAGAGGCTTTCCATGCGCGGTTTCCGGTTTCGGTCAAATCTTAAAACGTGACCCGCTTCGCCGCTCGTCTCGTTGGCCTTCGGCCGAACACGTGTCGGCCTACGGCTGACTAAGCTCCTCGTCAAATGCGGGAAGAAACCTCTGGTACCCAGGGTAACTAATAGGGGACACTAAATTAAAATACTATCAGCTCTAACTAATTACAAAAAAAAAATTTACAAAGAATAAAATTTACAAAAATATACATCCTAAAAAATATCGATAAAACGTATTCGGATTTATCATATAAAATAATACTTATTGAATAAGAGGTGTCCTTTTTGTCTAGAAAATGTCATTTATGCACAACATAGAAAGCAGTTTTTACAGTCCTCTGTGATTACTTTTTCAAGATCTACCTTACGAATTTTCTTTTTAAAGCCGTGTAAATTGATTCTGCGTTTTTTACATCCTTGCTTAATTTAGACCATATTACTGGACCCACATATCTTAGGCTGTCTCCCGTAAGTTGTTGTGTTGTATCGAGGAATAAAAAAGTTCCCAGAATTTCTGAGCCCATAGCGAGGTTTATCGAGCTTAAAAATGTCTTGTACGGAGGGCATATATTGTACTTTGCCTTATACATAATTATGGCTATATCCTGCAATCGGCGACAGCCTAGTGTCGTGAGTTTAGCTTTTCTCAAGAGCTTATCGTATGAACTTCTCGTATCGCAGTAGACGGCTCTTAACGCCCGCTCTTGTACTCGCTCCATCTTTCTGCTATCCGACGCCCGACAGAAATGACAGGGTTAGGAGAAACGGATGTTTTCGCAGGCTATAAATTATAATACTCAGGCTGTATAAAAAGGTTTGACGCACAACAAAAACAAGTCATTTTCCGTTCTCGTTACTCGATTCATGTAATCAAAGTTTAAAATGATCGCTTTTAGGGGTCAAAAAAAGGTTGGGCCACACCCAGATTGGTCTCCTTTAGGGGTTTAATTCAAAATTTCCGACGAGCATCCCCGCCCCTTTCATATGGCAGTCCCCCCCAGGAATTAAAATTGCAGATGGAAATTGACAGGGGCACATAACAAGCGCTGGAATATATTCTTCGATATTTTGACACATTCTCTCTTACTGAAAGCCACTTGAACAGGAAAAACGGTACCTCATATACGCTTCATCAAGTAATATTGGTGCAATCCCGAAGATATCGGGATCATTAGACAGTTTGCTGAGAAACAACAAACCCAGATAAACTGTATAACTTCCGGTTCACTGCAAGTTGGTCACGAGTCTAATCTAGACCGCAAAACAGTCCGTATTTTTGCGTATTCAAGTACGCGCGAGCAGTCGAGGCTCCCGCGCTTCGCGCGCGCAAGACTCTTACGCCACGCGTTACCGATTTCTTTACTGATTTTGAGAAAAAAGTCTAATACGAAAAATTCCTTCTTTTTCCAGCTCACGCGAACTTTTGGTGAGCATATTTCGATCAGTGACAACGTGCATTTACACAAAAAAATTGCCTAAATATAAAAAATTTAGGAAAAAAATTATATCCTTATTGTGATACTAAAATTCCGTAAACCTGAATAAAATTGAGCCAGGATACCTGAAAATCCAAAACCCCCGGCCATGCCTGTCCTTTAGAACTTCAAAATTACGTAACCAGAATGCCGACAAGATGTCACATTAAAATACTCTGCATGCAAACTACAAGACTCTCTGTAGGTGCATTTTTTAAAGACTATTTCATCCGTTCTTTGAAAACGTCTTAGTCGTACTAACTATTTTGGCCTCTTATGTGGGACATTCTAAGTTGACAGCACCCCACCAGGTTCCTAATCATAATTGTTGCACATGCAATTTCACTTCTTTAAACAACAAACTTGAAAAAAAGGAATCAAATTGTGCTCTAAACATTATGCTTTGCCAAGCCCGAGAAAACAATTCTCATGTGCAACAATCTACAATTAGCGACCTAGGGCTCAGTCGCGCAAAAAAAGCCTGGAGATTCAAGCGTCCTGTCGGCGCAAAACAAAGAACCCTTTTGAACGAAAATTTGCTTGTATCAAGGTTTTAAGGTGCCGTAAACAATGCCGTAAACAATGACTCATTAACAATACAAATTCCTCGGTGTGATACGCATTTTCGGCAATTTAAGGAGGAAAAACTCATGCAATTAGGGTTTTTTTTCGGAGAGAGGCAGAAATTCGTTTATCAAAAAGATTTTGGCCGCTGACGAGTTACGTAGCCACGTGACCATACCATTAGGTGACGAGTCACGCTATGATTTGATTGTGAAAATTAAAGAAAAGGTATAACTTCAGCCCGGGGGGGGGGGCTCCCATATGAAACAAACGGGGATGCTCGTCGGAAATTTTGAATTTAACCCCTAAAGGAGGCCATCTGGGCGTGGCTCAAGCTTTTTGTGACCCCTAAAGGAGACCAATCTGGGCGTGGCTTAAGCAAATTTTGACCCCTAAAAGAGACCGCTTAAAAACACACTAATACGACATGCAATGAGTGTTAATGATTTTAAGACATAATCATCGAATGCTTTTGTCTAAAGTAGTTTTCAAAAGCATTGTCATAAATCTCAAGTTTTTCGCGGAACCCTAAACGAGGCCTTGGCGGCTTAAAATATTGGCGCTTTGCCCGGAACACCCTAAGCGAGACCAAAATCCAAAATTTACACCCCTAAGGGAGACTACGAGCATCCCGTCTATTTCATATGGGAGTCCCCCCCCCGGGACTTCAGCTGACTGGATAGACTTCTTCCATCAAGAATCTGAAGCAAAGGTAAGCTTCTTATTCACCGAGAACAGATAAAACGGTAAATGACTTGTTTTTGTTGTGCGTCAAACCTTTTTAAACAGCTTGAATATTACAATTATACACCGCTGTGAAATTCACGCTGAAATTGCGGAAGGGACTCTGTATTCTACTTTGCCTTTCCTGTATTTGCTTTGTATCCCGAGGTAGTGATATTTATTTTCATTACTTAGAGAGCTTGGATCAACTTCTGATCTAGAGAATTCTATTAAAAGCATTGTTTACTGTTCAGTGGAGGCAATTACAAGACGACGGCGTCCGCCATCATCAGTAACATGAATGACCATCCCTGTTAACATGTGTTAATATATCTCTTTCTATTCAAAAATACTTAAAGAAGCTTAATTACTTTCTTTTAGACGCCGGAGACGAATTCAGGTGTCAAAAGAGCCAATTTTATGGAACGTTTAACCTGTACAATCGAGACGTCTAACACGGCCAATAATTAGTATGCAAATATGCAAAATGGCAGATTACAATCTACTGTTGGTTGCAATCCCAGAAGATACCCCCAAGTC